CTTGTACTGTTAATATATTACACCCTTTTTCTTCATCCCATTCTGCTAAATTTTCATCTGAGAATGGTGAGCCACCACTTGAGATTGAAAAAGTTGATAGGGCCATAGATAATATGGCAGGTGTTAGATGTGGTGTCAGACTAAATTCCAATCAGTGTTTAGCATCATTGTTTCCAGGTTCTGTAGTAACCTCTAGCAAAGATGGAAACTTTCACATTGTTTGGTCAAATTCTATTAGAAACATTTCTACTTCTATACAATTGTTTAATTTTATTATTATTGGAAGAACAAATCGCTTTTTTGAAAAGGTAAGCTACTTATTAATATTAATCAATGAAATTTATTTTATATAATACAAGTGTTTTAAATACCTTGTCCTGTTTTTTGTTTTATTTTGTAGGCAAAGGATAGATTTCTTTTATTATCTGTCCAAGTATTAAATGCTATTAGGAGTATTCCTGTACTTCATAAGACAATTAAAATAATTAAATGTTTCTTTGAAAGTCATTTGATAGATGAGCAACTCAAAGACCTTTTTAAAAATATTAATGATTTATTGATCGAATTGGAACAAACGATTGGAAAAATTATTAATGCCCTCGATGAGAACCGATATGAACAATTAAATGGTATTTCATAAAAATCATTATACAATAGTATTATCATTGTATTCATTGTATTGTATCGGTAATAATAATTATTATTATAATTTTAGGATATTTTGTTAAAACAAGTGGAATACTTCGTGAAATTTGTCGTTTAATTGAAAATGGGATCAACAAATTGAATGCCTTGGCAGAACAGGCCGAAGCAATTCAACAAAGAGCAAATTTTTTGGACTACGTAATGAGAAGTGCAATTCTGTAAGTTATGCATTTGTGTTTTTTCTCATACAGTATAATTTAATCGGTTATATTTATTAATCGTTGTTGTTAATTTCAAATTTGCATTTATATTTAAAGCGGTGTGGTGTTTTTCAGTGGTATGACTCTTTCAGCTGGGATGCCAGGAATCACACGGCAACAATT